TTATGCTGAGTGAAAGAAGCCAGACACAAAAGAATGTTATTGACACTTGACCACGCCCATTGGTTTACTTACTGTCTGTGTCTGCTTTTGTGCTAGAGACAGAGCTGAGTAGTAAGTGACTTTGGGTAGTCAGTAAGTCAGTCTCTGGGCCTCAGTTCCCACATCTGTAAAAATGGGGCTAAGCATATCACCTACGCACAGGTGTGGGCATCTGTGTGGCTTTCTTCATGTTCTTATGTAAATGTTGGACGCGTTTCTTTATCATTCAGCGATTTGGGTTTTCTTTTTTTTTTCCTCTGCATAATAACGGATCTTGGAGATTAGCTCATATCAGTGCTGTGGTTGAGGAACGCTGGTGCGTGTGTGTGATTCTTTTAAATATACATTTAACATATACACATATTATATAATGTACAAATATAAATTATATAATATTTAATAATTATACATGTGTTCATAATATATGCTATATAATACATGTTGAGTACACATAAATTTTATGTGATTCATTTTTATACGTATATAGAGACTGAAGATACACACACATATGATTCTTTTTAAAAATGGGATTTTAAACAGGCGTCGTCCCTCTGAGACTTTCACTTATTCAACAAATATGTATTGAGCATCTACTATGTACCGGTCACTGTTCTCAGTGCCAGGGACACAGCTGTGAGCCATACAGACAGCCTCCCCTCCCCTGCCATGGAGCTGACAGTGTTCCCGGAACATCCTAATTTTGAGTTCGTGATTTAGCTGTTTATTTGGGATTTAGATGCTGGCATGAGTTTAATCCCAGTCTGACTCACGACTTGCACTTATCATTGTTCCATTTATTAGTAAATTTAAGTGTTTGCTAATAGAATAAATACCCAAATCCTCAAAATAAATACCACCAGGGTAAACAGAACTTTCACAATAACTCACACCTCAAAGTGCTTCTTCCCCGTCCTACTTTCTGGGCTCCTCTCCCCAAAGTTAACCATCCTCCTGAATCCTATCTTTTCTTGAAAATAATTGTATCTCAAATATATATTTCCCCCAAATGTTGTCTCATTTTAGTTACTCTGAATTCATAAAGAGGGACTCACGCTGCGTCTAACATTTGGGGATTTTCTGTTCCACTCCGTGTAATGTTGCTAAGTCTATCCTTACTGTTTGCCTGTGGCTGAGAACACCACTGTGGCTGCTGATTAATATGCCACTGGATGAATTTCCCACAATGCACTTCTCCATTCTCTCAGCAATGAGCACATTTGGGTTGTTTCTGGGTGCCCGCCTTCTTCACAGTGCAGTAATGACGATTTTGTGGCATGTTTCCTGGGGCAAAAAGCCAGGGTTTCTTGTGGCTATGTATCTAGGCGAGGAAAGGCTATGTTATGTGGCACATGAATGTTCAGTGTTGTCATTAATATCAGTCTGTTTTCCAAAGTGGTTGCAGTGTGGAAGAGCCCTGTGTACCCACAGCCTCTCCATCATTTGGTATTGTTGGACGTTTTCAATTTGGGGCAATGATAACGGGGCCTTGATGTGGCTTTGTCAGGCATTTCCTTGATCCTTAAAGAGGTTGGACATCTCTTCATGCACTTATTGGCCACCCGTGTTTCATTGTTTGCGTGCTTTCTGCACACTTTCTTTTGGGGTAGCTGCCTTTTTCATACTGAAACTTTTTTAAAATTTATTTTTATTTATTTATTTATTTATTTATGGCTGTGTTGGGTCTTCGTTTCCGTGTGAGGGCTTTCTCTAGTTGCGGCGAGCGGGGGCCATTCTTCATCGTGGTGCACGGGCCTCTCACTGTCACGGCCTCTCTTGTTGCGGAGCACAAGCTCCAGACGTGCAGGCTCAGCACTTGTGGCTCACGGGCCCAGTTGCTCTGCAGCATGTGGGACCGGACCGGACCAGGGCTCGAACCTGTGTCCCCTGCATTGGCAGGCAGATTCCCAACCACTGCGCCACCAAGGGAAGCCCTGAAACTTCTTTTTAAAGGATTGTATCATCCCATCAGAAGGCTATACCATTATTTATAGCATGCATTCTCAGCAGGGACAAAAATAAGCTCTTGGGGGGGGTGAAAAAAAATCTTACTCTTTTAATGTATAAAACGCAGATATACATACAGTATATAAACAAATATTCAGTATATCTGGGTATTAAAATTTCATAAGGGATGATTAGGAAAAAAATGTCTAAAACAAGTGGGGGGGATAATGAACAAAAGGCTGAGAAACACTGACTTATAGCAATTGTCACAAGTCTATGGCGATGAGGGGCATACATACCTTTTCCCAAGTTCAGGATAGACTCCTGGAAATTGGACCATAAGGTTTGAACTTGGCTTAGGCCTCTGCCATGCCTGCCAAACTGCCTTCCCAGTTCACATACACATTTACCTCCAGGCAATTTAGGAAAACGCCTGTTTTTACCACATCCTCACCAGCACTGGGTTTTATCAACTTAGAAATCTTGACTGATTTTGATGGGTGCCAAAGCATGGTAGGTTCTCATCGTTCATTATCCTTTCTTTGGTCTATGTAAGCCTGGACATTTTTTATGTGTTTACTAATCAGTCTGTCTTTTGGGAATGTTCTAGGGTGGAAGCAATGTAAGCCAACACATCTGGAAGAAAGGGGATCTTTTATATACAGTGGCAGTAACTTAGCAGAGTTGTGTCCTATAGTTATACAGAAAGCAGAACTTGTAAGTGATGAACTTGGATATTCAGCAGAGGGGGCTTTTCAGTCAAGTGTCGAAGGTGCAGCCCCGTTTCTTCTCGCTGCTTATAGCAAAATGTGAGAGGAAAGAGATAGATAGATAGAGGGAAGAACTGTTAAGCAAAAAGGAACCAGGACTTGGTAGTTTGGGAGATTCTCGCAAAAGAAGCCAAAATCAGGAGGTTCACTGTCAGGAAAGTGTCCTCCGGACCATCAATCATCACTTACCGACTGGGTAAATCATCACTTACCGACTGGATAAAATTGGGCAAGAGTCTAAACCAATCTGAGCCTCAGTTTCCTCATCTGTGAAATGGGGATACAAAGGTAATAGCAATCAACTACGTGCCAATAAAAATTAAAAAAAAAAAAAAGGTGATAGCACCACCCACCTCATGGGGCTGCTGTGAGGGTAAATGCATAGCCTCGTGTAAAGCATTTAACTCTATGCCTGCAGGCCCAGGGGTGGCCTTGTGGGGAAAATGATGGGTGGGGGACAGCTTCTGTGCCCCTACTACTGCCATCTGGACCCGAATCCCTGCCTGGCTGACATCAGTCCACCCCCCCCTCCTCGCCTCTCCTCCCAGGTACCTAATTCCCTGAGGTAGGGGAGGAGCTGAGGGTTCAAGCTGGGGATTAACAGAGGCAGATTAGAGTCGAGCTGAGAGCAGGGGGTCTCTATCCTCTTGACTCTTTCCTCTCCGGAGCCAGAGCCGGTATATCCACCCTGGCTCCTTTTGGCTTCAGGTTTGTGAGAGGGGAGGCCACCTCCAGAACCTCACCCCCTCACCTGCAAAGCACCCTGGAAGAGCCGTCAGGATTAGGATCCTTGGGCTTCTGACGTGCTGGTTGAGGAGCTCCCCCTCTCTTGGCCTCACTTTTCTCTTCTTAAAAATGGGGAAAGGAATGTGCAGATGAAGTCGGAAAAGCTCAGCGTCCCAGAGCGAACGCTCCCTGGACGCCTGAGGTATTATTGGCTACATACTGAACACCTACTATGTAGGCAGAGCTGCTGTTAACCACCGTTTGCCTGAGATTTTCCGGCCCCCGGGGTGCCCAACAACGCACAGAATTAACTTCCAGAAGACCCCAAAGTCAGCCATGGCTCCAGAAGGGCGGGCCAGGGCCTGATTCTGTTCCCGGGGTGCTGCCTGCCCCCGCCCGAAACCCTGGCGTCCTCCCTGGGGAAGCTGAGAACCACCTCCCCAAAGGGGTCCCTGAATACTGGAGCCCCAGTTGGGGGGAAGTGAGGTCGCAGGCAGGGGGAAACCCAGACAGAAGGACGGCAGCAGAACCTCCTCCACCCCACCAGGTCGCGGCAAGCCCCCTCCCGTCGTCCCCCAGTTGCGCCAGACGCAGAGCCTGAGAGGGGGCGGGGAGAAGGGGGCGGTGCCTACTCTGCGGCTGCCGGAGGAGGGGGGACTGCGGGAGAGCGCGTGGTGGGGGGCGGGGGCGCTGCGGCACGGCTTCCCAGCCCGCAGCAGCCCGCGCAGCAGGGGCGGGGGCGCTGACCCTCCACGGCCCGGCCCCTCCCCCCGCTGCGGAGGCTTCTCCCTTAATCTCGACCCGGGGAGGGGGCGCCCGCTCCCCCCCACACCTACCGAGCCGCCGCGCGCGCTCCCCGCCCCCCGCCCCGCCTGGATCCCCTGCGGGACCCCCAGGGAACCCCTGCCCCCAAGGTCTGTCACCCTCAGTGTCCTAGTCTCTGTCTGTGTCCCCATCTGTCCCGTCTCCCCGCTGTGCGTGTTTGTGTCTGTGTATCCGGAACACCTGCACTCAGGGGCAAGGGTGGCTGCTGCGATGGCCTGGGGGAGGGGTCCTGGGGGGGGTCGGCGTGTGGCTCAGCCCGCGGTCTGAAATATCTTTCTACGATTGTCAATCTGTGTGCTTGTCTGAGTGACACCCTGCTGGCTGTGAGTCTGTGTATGTGACAGCGTGGAGGCTGTGGGTGTCTGGGTGACACCCCAAAGGCTGTGAGCATGTGGGTCCCCGTGTGTCTGTCTGGGTGACACCGCAGGTTGTGAGTGTGAGTCTGTTCGTGGCATCCTGAAGGAGGTGTGCGTCCAAGAACCGCATCGGCTGTGAGCGTGGGCCCCGGTGTATCTAGGTGACACCCGCAGACTGTGTGTGCCTGTAACACGCCGCAGGCGCGTCGGTGTGTGTTCTGTGTCGGTGTCGGAGTCGAGGAGGCCCGGGCCGCGAGTGTCCCCGGCTGTCTGCGTGCGTGTGTGTGTGTGTGTGTGTGTGTGTGTGTGTGTGTGAGCGCGCGCGCGCCGTGAAGGTGGATCCGCTCCCTCCGCAGCGAGCCCGACCCGGGCCCCACGACCCGCCGCCGCGGCCGTTCGCCTGGCCTCCCCTCGCGCGGGCCCGGCCGGGGATGGAGCCGCAGCCAGAGCCGCCAGAGCCGGGGCCGGGGCGCGGAGCGGCCTGAGGCGCGGGCGGCGCGCGGGACCGGGGGGAGGGCGGGCCGAGGGGAGGGTCCTGGGGCGGGGGGGCGGGCACGGCGCGCCCCCTCCCTCGCGCGCTCGCTCCCTCCCCCGCGCGCCCTCCCTCGCCGCCTCCTCCCGCCGCCTCCGGCCCCCCCTCGCCGGGGACCGAGCGCGCTCGCTCCGGCGCCGGCCTCGCCTCCTCGCAGCAGCGCCATGGTACGTCGCCGCCCCCACTTTCGTTTTCGCCCGGGGAGTTTTTGGGGTGGTGCGTGGGCTCCGGGCGAAAGTTGAGAGGTCTGGGGGGGCAGGGGGCGGGGGCCGCCCGGGGGAGGGGCTCGCTGCGGGGACCCCACACACACCCGCCGCCCCGGGACCCCCGCCCGCCAACCCAACACCCCCGCGGCTGGGGGCGGAGCTGGCGCGCGGGGCGCAGCGGGGGACCCCAAGTGGGGGGCCCCTCGCGGGCACCAAGGAGTTGGAGGGGAGGGCGGGGCTCCCGGGAGAGGGTCCCCCACAGGCCAGGCCTCCGCCCCCTCCCTGGCCCGGCGGGAGAAGGTAGGCGGGAGGGCGCGGCTCCGGGCGCAAGACCCCCAAGCGCGCAGCCGGCTGGGAAGCCGGGCCCAGTGAGGGGGCGCCCGAGGGGGCCGTGCGGGGCGGGGGTCGCGGCGGCCCCCGCAGGCTGCCCCGGCCCGGGCGAGCGCGGCGCGCCAGCTAGCGGAAAATGGCCGCTGCGGAGAGGGGCGGAGAGCGCGCAGCGGCCGCCGCCGGGCGCCTTGAACTTGGAGCCGGGAGGGCGGCCGCTCTCGGCGCCGCGCAGGGGCAGCCACCCGGCCGGCCCTAGCGCCGCCTGAGCCCCGCCCCTCGGCCGACCCCAGCCCCGCCGCGGTCCCAGCCGGGAGGGGTCACCGGGTCTACGCCGGGCGCGCCCCAGGCCCGCGAGCGCCGGTAGCTGCACTTGAGGGTTCCGGTGTCCGGTCCGCCGGTGTCAGTGGCATCTTCACTCGAGGGGTGCGTTTGGAGGCCCCTGTGCTCTCAAACGAGTCAGCACGGGAATCCGGGGGTGCATTCGCGGGTCTGTGCAGCTAGGTGGTCCCATGCCTGTCCGTGGGTCCGTGGGTCCCCGGGCGTGGGGTCCTCTCTTTTATGTATCTGTGTGTCTGCACATCCACGTGGCTGTGTGTGTGTGTGTTGTGTTGCGTGTTGTTAGAGCATTGTGCGGCTATGGGAACAGTGTGTGTGTGTGTGTGTGTGTTAGGGTAACTGGGCGACTGTGCCACGGGTCCCCGTGGGGCGGTGTTGTGAAGCCGTGTGGCTGAGTTGGATGTCCCGGGGGACGTGATGTCCCTGGATGACCATGGGGGTGTCCACGTATGAGTGTGTGGAGGTTAGGGGATTGCCAGTGAGTGGGGAACTATGTCGCGTGGCTGCGTCTCAGGGGACAGTTGGGTGTCGCTGTGTGCGTTTGGCGCCCTGAGTGACTATTCCTGGGGATGGGTCTACACTCTCCCCCCCCCCCCCCCCCCCCCCCCTTTTCCTTTGCGCCCCCCCCGCCCCTTCTCGGGGGGGGGGGTCCCCCCCCCCCCCCCCCCCCCCGCCCATTTCCTTTTCTCCTGTAACCCGGGCTGCCGGATGGGGAACGGGTGCTTCCTCCACCTCGCCAAAGCTCTGTCCTCTCCTCTCACTCCCTACCCCGTCCGCTCCAATTACCCCTGCCTCGGGGTCCCCTATCTGCACGGCCCCAGGTGGTCCCAGCCTGAGGTTCGGGCGCGAGGTGGCGCCGGGACGCGATCACTCGGCGCCTATGTCTCCCGCCAGGGGCTGCGCGTGCGCGTGGCCCAGAGGGGGGCGGGGCGGCGGGGTGTCCCCCCTCCCCCCCAGAGGAGGTCTCGAGGGATGGATGGTTACCGAAGCGCGTGGGTTAAGTCTGGACCAGGGGGGTGGCCAAGGAGACCCCCTCGCCCGGATGGGCAGGGAGACGCGCCCCCAGGCCTACCTCCCAGCGCTTGCCCGGGACCGGGCCAAACCCCTGGCGGGCACACAGCGTTGTTTTCTCCCCTCCAGGGGAATCCCCGTCGCGCCCCCATCCCCACCCCAGGGCGCTTTATATAATTTTCTAAGTATAAAAGCCCCAAGGCCAGGTGGGAGTCTCTGCTTTCAACTTTCAACCTGCATTCCCTTTTGGGGGGCTGTTTGGGAAGAGGAGAAAAGGGGTCCCACGTTGACACAGGGGTGCATCCATACGCAACACTCAGGGATCCCCGCTCAGGTAAGATCACCCATCCTCACGCCCCGCCGTTCCCCGTGCTCACCCTGCCCTACACCCACTGCCAGTGCTCAGACGCAGCGCTCTCCCACCCCACACCCGGGCACTGCCCTCCACCACACTGGCCTCCATCCCCACCTGTCACCTGGTGCACAGTCAGCAGCACACGCTCCTGACACGCTCTTTCAGCTATCTGTTCACAGCCACACGTGTACAGAATTCTGCCCTCACACAGGTGCACACACAGCCACACACAGAGGCACGCAGACACTCGTAAACAGGCACCTGCGTTTGTGGGAGGGGGAGGAGCCAAGCCCATCGCGCCCTCCCCCCACCTCCATGTCCGAGCCAGGTCCCTGCAGGATCTGGAGAGCAAAGACCCCAGCTGTGGGCGCATTTGGGGGGAGGACAACCATGAGGGGGGAGCAGGAATGCGGGTGCTGTGTGTCACCGGGTGTGTGTGTGTGTGTGTGCCAGTGTATAAATAGTGGGAGGGGTTCTGTCCATGGGTTCGTGTGCTGGTAAGTGTATACTTGTGTTCTGGCGTGTGTGTTATTGTGGCTGGTTGCACATGTGTTGTGTTTGGGCTGTGCATGACCTCGTGTGGGTCTGTGTGTCTCTGTGTGAGTCTGCATGAGTCTGTGTGTGTCCCCTCGGGTCTGGGTGTCTGTATCTGCTGGAGTCTGTGTGACGTGTGAGAATGTGTGTGTCTCCGTGTGGTGTGTTTCTGTGTGTCTTTGTGTCTCTTCGTGGCGTGGTGTGTGTGTGTGTCTCTGTGTTGTGCCTGTACCAGCCCATACGTCATACCCCGTTACTTGTCAAGGCAGAGGACCTTAACATCCCCTTCTGGAGGCTCAATTTCTCATCTGTAAAATGGGAACACACAGGATGCCCCACAAGGTTGCGGGAGGGGTGGCAACGTCAGCCGCGCTTTCACAGGTCCTGGCCCCCTGGCTGTGTCCTCTATTCGCTGGGTACGGCGCCGCTGTGGAGTTCCCTGGTGGTCTCAGGCTTTGATCATCCCTCCCTGAGCTGCTCTCACTTTTGAAAGTGCTGCTGTGAATTCCACTCACATGTTTTAAGTTTGCTTTTTAATAACATGAGCGACTCATGAACATCTAAAGAGGATGCAAAAGTACCCAGAGTAAAAATCAGACCTTCCTCATCACCCCTCCCCGCTGGGACCCCCTACTCCAGAAAAGCCCTATTTCATCCAGCTTTGTCTGAGCAACTCCACATGTCACAGATACACATTCTCATAAAGGACACACGTATATTCTTATAAAGGATATATGTATATTCTTCTTCAAAAAATCCCAAATGAGATCTTGAGTCTACTTGCTGAGTCTACAGCAATGGTTCTTGACTGGGGTGGTTCTGTCCCAGGGGATACTGAGTAATATCCGGGGACACCTGTGGTTGTCCCACTGGGGGGCTCCTGGCACCCAGGGGGTGGGGGCCAGGGATACTGCTCCACCCCACAGTGCCCAAGACAGCCCCACCAGGGATGGTCCATGATGCCGAGGGGGGAGGAGTCCTGCGCTGCAGCATGCTTTCCCCTGCGCGTTTCTTGGAGGCGTCTCCACGGGGGGTCCCTTGTTCTTCTGTGGAGCTCCGTAGTATTCCAGCCTGTGCCCCCGGGTGGCACTGCTGAACTGGTCCCCACAGATGGACACGGTGGCTGGCTCCAAATTGTTGGCATTAGTGTTACAGGGTGACAGTCAACCCTCATGCGTCCGTATCTGGGACAGTCCCAGATACAGTCCGTATCTGAGCCTAAGAGTGAGTGATGGGGAGAGTGCATTTTTAAACTGAAATGAGCTAGACTGTGCGCCAAAGTGTCAGGAGCTAAATCATGCGGCCCCTTTCTGGGATGGGATACACACAGGTCCAATCCAGCAATTGCTTTGTTTAGAAAACACTAGGTGCGGTCCAAACACCGGCTGGTTTACCCACAACAGCCCAGAGGGGTAGAAACTATTATCGTCCCATTTCACAGAGCGGGAAGCTGAGGCACAGGGCGTTTTAGCTCCTGGAGGGAGAAGACATAGACCCAGGCTGCAACCCTGCACTGCAACTGGCCTGCTTTGGACCTACTGTGTACACTGTAGGGACCGCTCCTGCTGAACTGGATTATATATATATATATATATATATGTAACGCTTCACTGATGTTTGTGAACTGGCACCTGCCACCACTAACATAGTAACTCAGTCTTCCCACACGTTATCTTAAGGATTCCCATCTGCCCAGACTTCCAAAATGCGAGATGCGTCTATTGTTGCCATTTTACAGATGTGGAAACTGAGGTTCAGAGAGAGAGAGAGAGAGAGAAAGAGAGAGAGAGTCTGTGGTCTCCAAACTGTGCCTTCCAGAGTAACCTAAACTGCCTTGGGAAGGCTGCCCGTGGGGCAGGCGTGGGGGCAGTCTGGGGGTCACTGCCACCTGGGAGAATGCTCCGAAGCCAACGTGTACTTGGAAATGTCTGTGAATTGGGGATTCTGCCCTCCAGGTGTTCATGGCGTCTTTTTAAATAATAAAATATTGCTTTATGTTACGTCGGCATTTGGATTCCTAGACACCTGCCTCTCCCTTTCTTTCTGGGGTTTAAATGCCCCCCCCCCATGGCTGCACAGTGGGTTTTTTTAAAAAAACCATTTGTGAAGTGCTTTTGAATGACCGTCACCCACGTGCAGGGGGAGCCGGCGGGACGGAGGGCATATGTGTCCTGTATGAATCCTGCTCACTTCTGGTCCAGCTCCAGGGCCCCAGGTCAGTAGCATCCGTTCCTGGGGCGTCGGTTTCCTCCCCTGTAACACGGGAGAATAACAGAGTTGCTGGCGTCTTCCATGGCCCTGGGCATGGGGCAGCTGCCCGAAGTTGGCGAGAGGTTATCATTTGTACTCGGGACACACGGGGCAAAATGGCCAAGCTTTCTAAGAATGTCTCTGT